GCGGCGAGAGCAGCACGGCCGGGTCGGGGTTTGGTTTTAACTGAAGGGTCTTTAGCAGGACAGCTCTGTAGGGGGAAAGGGAAGGACAATGCAATCGATCCGAGCTCAGGTGCACTTTCCCTGGGCACAAGGGCTTCACCAGCACCTCGTTGCTCCCCAAATCCTGCCAGACCCAAGTGTCCGGGCCCTGCGGAGAGCCAGGGCAGCCTTGACCTGAGTTTCCCTCTCCCGGCTGCTGTCGCTGCCTCCCTTCTCCCCCCGGCAGCTGGGAGCAGATAAGGCCAAAGTCCCGGCAATCTCTGTTTTCCACTGAAGGCTGATAAACGGCGTGGGCACAGAACAGCGGCGATCTCCACCCATCCCAGGTTTGTGCAGGAAAGAGTCAATATTTAAACCCAAGATTGTTCCGTGGGCAGATATGGGAGCGCTGGGGCTACAGGTGGGAGAAATCCCTGGCTCGATAATCCAGGCACCGGACCCAAACCTCCTCCTACACCCCTTCATTTGTTCTCCTGAGCCCGGGATTCACCCCAGATCCCCTCTCCAGCTGTGCTACATGAGCCCCAGCTGTGGGGCTGGGTACCCGCTAACGGGGCAGCAATTTAAGGGAGAGGGGATGCTCAGCCAGGGTTTGGGTTGTCTCCTTGTCTGCTCCTGGTGCAGGTGCTGTCCCCATGGCAGGCCACCTCAAATGAAACGTGGGACAAGAACTAGGATTATAGGAAGGGGAGGAGGTAAGGAAATATTTAATCATCCTATGAATGCCTTCAATGTAAGGCAGCGCACTGAAAGCTCTGAAACCTCATTTTCATTTAAATTCACCAAAAATTGTATTTGAGCGTTGTGTTTCCAGCAAAGTTTGTGGGTCCCAGTGAACTGGGCAGAAACTGCTGGTGGGATGTTTGCTCTGGTGCACATTTAGGTAAATTCCTCGGGTAAATTCCTCAAAGGAAAGGAAATAGCACTTTTCATTGCAGTGGCTGCAGTCAGGCTGGGCGCAGGGCGTAGGAGGTTTTACAGGCAGGTCACCAGCAGAAGGTGGCCTTAATTTTGAGGGTAAAGGCTTATGTTCCCGAGGAGGAGTTGTGTGATCTGGGGGGGTCCAATGCCCAGTGTTGGGGTAGGCAAGAAACCAGCTAATGAGATAAAACGCCGGTGGGTAAGGAACCTGCGAGCTGTGCAGGGGAGGATGGAGAGGCTGAGCCCACCTGAGGGGTCCGACACCAGCAAAGGGTCTCCACCATCCTTTCCAGAATCGCCCAGGGTCCATTTTAACTCCAAACACCCACTTTTCATGTATATTGTTTCAAGCAGCCAAGCCGCCTGCTGCCTCCACCCTCGCTCCAGCTGCACCCAGTGCATTTTGCTCAGCCTAAACCTCCCGACTTTCCGTGGTGGGGAGGAAGATCAGAGGGAATTGGAGTGTGCAAAAGCTGGTTTAGCCCCTGCTTTGGGGAAGAAACCGAAGGAAGTGCCTGCCTTAAACTGAAACCTTCCCTGAGTGAGGGAAGAAAAAATTACCACTTGTTAAGAAAAGAAACACTCAAGAGTTGTTGTTTTATAGCTGTATTTTGGAGCATAGTTAAATCCTCTTTGAAAGAATCTCTGATGTTAGGGAAGAGGGCCATGCATTATTTAACTGCTGTCACTGTAACGTAAACTGTATGGGAGGAAGGGAGGACAGACAGGACTGACTTCACGACACCGAAGGGAGCTGAGTGGGGACTCCTGGTCCCACAGGTACCAGCACTGTCCCGCAAGCCCTGGCTGGGACGTGGATCAAACCCATCTGATGGAAGAAAACCCCTGTGCCATGGCAGGTTGGGGTCCCTGGGGGACCAGGATGAGATGTGACCCCAGCTGCTCCTGCAGCAGCACACGGGAATGTGCTCAAGGACCCCAAACCTCTGTGCAAAAGACTGCTTCGTGAGGGAACCAGTACGGAGGAAATCTGCCTGGCTGCCAGGACAGCACAGACTGGTGGAAAAACAAAAAAAAAAACACCCAAAAAACAAACAAAAAAAAACCTTTTCATCTGGGGAGCTGAGGATCAATCCTGCCCTGCTGCCACCGGTGAGCTCTGCTACGCAAGAGCCAGCCATGCTCCCGTTTGCATGAGGAGCCCTTGACCCGGATGCCTTGCAAGCCTTTAGCCAGCTCAAGGTTTATTCCTTTATTCCAGACAGCAGCGGACGGAGTGCCCCTCCTCAAGGCGAACCCTTTGGTGCGTAGCTATTAGCAGGACCCTGCCACGCAGCAGCACCGCAACACGCGGCTCCATGTCCCTCAGTGAAGTGGTGATGCTTGGGTTTGGAAGGATCCCGGTGGGGCTCGTGGTCCTGTTGGCGGGGAGATGCTCGTGCGATGCAGTGGTGCCAGTCCAACCCAGGACCCATCTCCCCTGAGAAATGCATACAGGCTGCCTGCCCAGGTTACACCCAGCAGCTCTGTTGGGTATATCCTAAACACAGCCCATCCCGCTGTGAAAAGCCTTCCCAAAGTCGTTACCATCTGCAGCGCACATCCCTCCCCAAGTGCTCTCTCCAAGTCCCAACGCTGCCCTGGAGCCGAGCTGGACCTGTCTCTTTGGGACTGTGCTCTTCTTCATAGTGGGACTCTGTTTCCCTTTTCTGGTTTGATATTGCAATTTCCCTTTCACACCCATGGGAGATGGTGTGCTCCTTAGTGTTCAGGTACCCTCAAAACCTTAAATACCGGTCGCAGGGTTGATCTCACCCAGGATGAGCGACCTGCCGTGCAAATGTTTGCCCTCTCCAGAAGAGATGAGGCAGGAGGCTGGTCAACTGGCGTAGCCTTCCCAGCAAGGCGATCTTGGATCTCTTGCTGCTTCTCGGCTCACGCAGAACAAAGCAGTCTTTTGTCCCTGCATCTCAGGGCTGGCTCGTTTAGTACCTGGGCATTTTCTGGTTTCCCAGACTTCCCCAGTGACTCCAGAGGTACAGCTTGGACCAAAGAGACAAGACAACACCTTTCTGCTCCCTCTGCTACATGTCCTGGTCAAGACAGCTATGAAGATGGAGCTTTGGTCCAGCTGGAGCCTGAAGCCAACTTGTTGCTGGCCTTGCTGGAGAGGAGGTGTCTTGTTCTGACACCACGGACTTTGGATCGAAAAGAAAAAAATATACATGTATCGAAACAAGCTTAGGGTTTCTTGAGAAGTCCAAGTTCATCGCCTCTCCCTGCCGAGGAGTCAGTCGATGGGGAAGCAGGCGGCTGGCATGGGCGCTCTGCGGAAGAGCAGGCTGGAGCCGCGGAACAGCTGCCCCTGAGGAGGAGAGAGAGCACAGGGTCAGGGCAGCCACAGTGAGATCCAGCCGGGGAACTGGTTTAGCAGGGACCGACATGTGCCCGCTGCAAGGCCTGAGCACCCTGGGTTGCTATGGAGGAGAAAGTGGGGTTGCAGCCCCGTGGGTGCTGGATTTGGGCATTTCCCCCAGGGATGACTGATGGAGAGGGGCAGAGCCACCTTGCTTTGCTGTGCACAATGCATCGGCTAAAAGTTTGCAGGCTGCAAGCTCGGGGCGTGTAACAGGCAGACCAGTACCGCCATGCCTGGTACCAGTGCCAGAACTGGAGGGATGGAAACAGGTTACAGAGCACCTCAAGGATGTGACACAGGCACTTTTTGGGCAGCACTGGAGACCTCGGGAAGGAGGAGAGGGAGCCTGAAGCCCCATGTGTGCCCTGCTCCCTCACCTGAGCACTGAGATACCTCCAGCAATGGATCCAGGACGTAAATGCAGGAGCGTAGGGAGGGAGGCCGGCGCGCAACCTGCACGGCAACAAGAAACAGCTGAGGCGGTCTGTACAGATGTCATATTATCCAGACAGGTAACACAAGAGCAGCCATAAGTGTAAGTGAGGACGCAAAAACAGTGCCCGCACTGGGCTGAAGGCCAAATGACCAGCTCGTTATTTACAATGCAACTGATCATGTAATTTAATTACCCCTGGAGTGTACAAACAAGGAGCGTTACCTGGATACATTCAAGAGTCGAGGACTATATGCTGTATCTACACCTTCACGAGCCAACAGGTATCGAGAAAACACTATACCAGCGGCTTGGATCCAGTCCCCTTCCCATAAGCACAGATGGAGAAGACTTCTTGCAGCAGTGGGATTGGGAAGTCAAGCTTGGTCCTGCTCCTGTCTGCATCCATCGCAGAATTAAGAGCTTTGCTTTCCCTCGTGCTGCTCCCTGGAGCCAGCACGGTCCCTTTGATCCCTTCTGCCTCTGGTCTGGTTCAGATCGGACCACACCACCACGACTCTCCCTATTTCTCTCCACTTGAGCTTTTATGCTGCTCTTGTCTGTGCCCTCTGATCTAAAATTATAAGCAACCTGGGACAGGAAACGAGCCAACTCTGCGAGGTGCCATGTAGTTTACGGTTCTGTATGAAAGCTTTACGATCGTTAGCAGAGGATTCAGACAACAAGGGGCTGGAAGAAAGGAAGGGAAAGCCTTAGATCTCAGCGTGACGGACATACCCACAGTTGTTCACTGCCATGAGATCTCCCACGAGAAGGAATGGGTACGTCAGCATGCTCACAGCGATCTGAAAGCACAGAAAACCAGTAGCCTCGCTAATGTTCATCATGTCAAAAAAGCTATTTCCAGCTTTTGCACGTTAGTAAAGTTATCCTCATCTTTGGATATAGAGTACAGACCAGCCTTTGCCCCCAGACCATGAGCTCTAACCCCACACAGGGCAGGAAGAGGAGAAATGACATGGCAGTTGTCTACATACCCCCATCACGAATTTTGTGTAGCTCCGGATCACCGATGCCTGGCTGAACTGGAAAGAGAAACCAAAGGGATTGTGGAGGAGGAGAACGACACCAGGCTGTCCCTGCCATTATGTGACATCCCTCTGCGCCTCAGATGAAGGCCACTGGGCAGGGGAACAAGGCAGAAAGCAATGACAACCACACTGCATCCCAGCCGAGAATCAGGGAAGACATTTGCTGTCAAACCTGATCCCCCAAACTGCAGCTGAAACATAGCCCTGAGCAGACACAGCACTTTCAGAGGGCTTTATGTTTGTATTAAATTAGCCCCCGCTTCCCATTAACTCCTTCCAACTGCAGGTACTTGGTACAGGCCCTGCCAACCCTCCATCGGGCACTTCCACTCACGTTATCGTCCACCGCGTAGGTGTTGATGAAGTGAGCCAAGAGGTTGCAGCACCAGAGGAAGATGACATCCCCCAGGATGTGAGGGACTAAACCGCTGCAATGGCAAAAAGAGGGGTGTGAGGTGCAGAAGGGTCCCTGTGTCGCCTTCTGAGGTACCCAGCCCTCCCTCCACCACCATAGAGGAACCCCACTCCCCCAAAACGCATCTTTACTTTGGGAGGAACTGAAAGGGAGAAGGGGAGATTTCAGGGATGAACTCTCCCAGCTTTCAAGCATGGTCCTACATGTGCTGCCAGCTGCTCCGGACAGGGAATGCTCCGCAGTAGGAAGTTTGGGATCTGTCATTTGGGCATAACTGAGCCAAGTTCCCTTGTTCTAGCCCAAATCCCTCCTTGGCCCAACTCCTGCTCTGAAACCCAGGCGAGACACAGATGAAGTCACAGATAAAGACGCAGATGAAGTGGTTGCCATCAAGCTCGTTTTGCAGATGCTCTTCCGGATGCAGGATGCAGAATGAGAAGTTCATCTCTGTGAAATCTCCCTCCTTTAGAAATTAAAATGAGGGGGGCTGTTCCTGCAAAACCTGCTCTACTGCAAAGTGGGATTAACTGGGGGCAGGACTCCAGTCCCTCTGATTTTTCCCAGTCCCTGCTGCCACTTGGGAGCATAGCTGCTTTGGTTTATTCCTCTCTTGGACACATGGGCCCGAGCTCCCAGCAGCATGAGCACCCCCAGCTTCTGCAGCTCATGGCACTAAAACATTAACAAAGCATTTCAGCGGGATTCTCCACTTTTCCAGCACTTCAGCAGAATCCGTCACACCAGTGCAGGCATCAAGCGCAGGGCCCCTGGCTTTGGCTGGGCAGTTGTTCCACTGCAAAAGGATCCAAGTGTGTGTTAAACCTGTGTTTCAGCAGCAAATTTGTTCAGACAGTTCTTCTGAAAACAAGCCTGTTGAGAGCCACATGAGTGTTTGCTGGGCTGGAAAGAGCTACCTCCAAGCACACTAGTCCGAGTCATTTGTTTCTTCCCAAACACGATGCTGCCTCTTTGGAGCAGGGGACCAGTTTTGTTTCCTGCTGCGGTCGCTGCAGCAGCAGAATGGCAATTGGGACTGCATGCTCTGATCCAGCCTGCTTTGCTTGCTTGGTGTTAGGGTTTATGCTTCTTGGAGACAACCTGTGTATTGTCAAGGCCCCAGCAGCTCTGGAGGTGCAGCCGAGGTCTTGGCGACTAGGTAAAGTAGAAGTCTTCAACGGAAGATCTGCTGGCTTTGGCTTAAAAGATGTGATACATGAGAGCAACAGACATGACAAAGAAATCAAAGCGCTCTGGTCCCAAAGAGATGGTCTGTTTTGCATTCAGCCTTTGTGAAAAAAAAAATCCTTTCTCTAACTCAGTGTCAAGTGTGAAGCAGACTCCTGAGCTGCTGCAGACCCAACAGCGGCTTAATAAAGTCCAAAACCAGAGGGCTGGCCCAGGACTACGCCACGGCAGCCACGTAAGTAAAACCTCACCCAGCTGTTGACAGAGAATCGGATTGTTTGTTCCATTTGCAATAAGGATCCCATCCCTCTCTCTCCTCCATCATCAAAGTAACAACAGATGCTGGGCCTGAGTTTATGGGATGACTGGAGATCAAGGGTCTGAGGGCGCTGCGGAAGGGGACCAAAAATCCAAATTCATTTGTGCTACAGCTCTCACGCCTGGCGAGATGTCCAAAGAGATCTGGAATAGCAGTATTTTTAGAACATGACAAGTCATTAAAAGCTGAAACAGCAGCAGGCAGATGGTGAAGCCTGTGACGTTTGGTGATGCGACCCAACAGAAGCCCCAGTGCCCGGCAGGACTGGCACAAACCATCTTCGAGCTGACCACGCACAGCAGTTTCAGAGCCCCAGGAAAATCCTTCTGGCAGGCAGGAGACTGCTACAGATACAAGGGGAAGCAAGGTAAGTCCATCTCCTGAAAAGTCTTTCTCTCTAGCCAGGCACACACCCAGAGCAAGCGTGTGCCACTGTTATTGCTGCATAGAGGTTATAAGGCCATGAGAAATAAGTGCGCCGCAATGATTTTAGGGAGTGGATGTGTTTGGGTTGCGTTAAGAGGGCTGAGAGCAGTTTGGTCCTACAGATGCAGTTTGTGTTCCCCCCAGGGCAGTGGGATTTCCTAGCGGGGTTGTAGAGCACGTATAACTTCAGAGCCCTCCTGAGACATTTTGGGTTGTGTTAAAGCCTTTCCTGTGAACTATTAAGTTTAATTAGGCTACCAACAGTGTTTATTTTATGTGGAGGAAGGGAACGTGGTGGCTCCTTTCATGTTGTTTCCTCGGGAGGTGGAGGAAAGGGAGGGCTGCTGGGCAGCATGCTCCGGCCGTGCCTCATGCACAGGGAACATCCCGGAGGAACCTGTATTTAACGGAGGAGATTTGGGGCTGCACAGCTCAGCAGATAAGCTGTGGGCCACAAAAGGAAGATGCAGTGACACTCAACTGATGGGGTCTTTGCAGATCCCTGGGCCTTTTCCCCTTGGGGAAGGACAGGATGAGACCCCCTGCAATTGTTTGGCTCTTCCTGGTGCATTCATGTTTCATCCGGAGGCCCAAATTTTGTGACTGCAGAGTCAAAGGCATCAGGCCTGAAAACCCCTCCTGAAATTTCAGAGCAGCCTTTACTATTATTGACATAATAAAGTGAGTTTTCTCCCCACCAGGAGCAGAGGCAGCAGGTGGTTCTGCTGTTACATAGATGTGAAAAAAAGGCAAGAAGTGTTAATTAAGGCTTCAAGCAAAAAGGTGTCCACTAGACTTCCACTTCAGCGACACCACCAATTTGCCACGCTTCACAAGAGGCTGGAAGCGCCTTTCAGTTCCTTCTGGTCCAGGCAGTGACGGCGTGCAGCACCACGATCCCACCGTTCAGGCAAACCTGCTGCCAGCACGGACCACCGGCTCGTTACAAGCACCCATGGTGCTCTTCAGAGGAATGTGCTGCTTATCCAGGCTCCGGCTTTTATTTCAACAAGGGGGTCTCATTGTTGCACTTGATCTTGGTGCCTGTTGCACAAACAAATGTTTCAAATGGCCCTTCACTGAAACACAAAGAAGCATCGAGGGGAAAACAAAGGTAAGAAAAAATACAGGGTTTTCTCTGGGCTCTGAAGGTTTGATTGAAGATAAGATCTGGGACGAACTTAATGGTCAAACCGGAGCACTGTCAAAGGTGCAGATTTAATCTGTGCTCATGGGAGTGATGTGAGAGTCCCATGGTCAGACAAGTTTTCAGATGGAGAGAGCTCAGTGTGACTTTAACTGAGGTTGGCAGAGCAGCCAGGAGAGCCATCGGTGCCTTCAGACTATGGGAGAAAGTATTTAAACAACAACTCACGTACACAAAGAATCCCAGGATCCCTTCTTCTTTAAATATCCTGCCAATGGCGCTGAACACACCGCTGCCAAGAAAGGAAAAGAGCTGTGAGAGCGCAGGGGGTTGCTCCATCTCTTGTCCTGCGCAGCTTCACATGCATTCTGCAGCCACCCAGCCATAGCAGCGTCCCCCCCAAGCCACCATGCCAGCAACGCAGCGGGCAGCTCTGTTCTGCTTCTCAACCCATGAAGGAGGGTCGTGTCTGCAGTAACGCCTGGGACAACACTCAACTTTGCTGACAGCTGTTTAAATGCTGGAGCTAGAAGAGCTCTGCTTGGTTTTGTGTGAGTGGCTACACGTGCCGCAACCACGACACATAACAGGCTTTGATGGGGCTGATTCTCAGCCCGAGAACCCTGTCCTGCCTCTGGAAACTCGCGCTGGCAGTTGTGGGTTAGCTGCAGTCATGTCTAGCATGCTTTCGCATGGCTGCAGGTGTAGTTTTGCCCTTCAGAGAGGCAGGTATTACTGAAAAAGGCTTGCCAAAATCTTGCCGGACTAGCAGGGCTGCAGCAATGCTTTGTATTACCTACTCTGCCTCCCTGCTGACTTCCCTTTCTACAAACACCTAAAGCAAAAAGGCAGGAGGCTCGCTGTGTGAGCAGCAAGGTGCGTTACAGCCACCAAAATCCCCACAGGCACAAGGCAGAACAGAGGCATGCCAGGGACAGAGCCCAGCCTTCCCACGTCCCCTCACCGTGCACTCACCCACCCTCTAACCACAGCTCAGATTCACTTTTTGGTTTCCTAAACCTCCTGGGTTGCCATATCCCCCATTGCATGGCAGCATCTGGCACCGCTGACTCCCGGACTTGTGCTTCTGTGTGCCCAAACCCTTCAGAGCTGCAGTCACTCACCTGTATTTGACTTCCCGGCCGACAAACTGGACCATGCAGCGCATAGAGATCACTAGGAGGAAAGAAACACAGGGCTGACAAAGAAACAAATCCAGTTTGGGTTGCAATGGATGGGAAGGAAAATGCAACCTGACCCTTCTGCCCTCCCCTCCCTCAACCTGCATCACTTCCAGCTCCCCTCGGTGGTCCTCATCACTGCAAGACTCATTAGAAACTGGTGCTCTCACCTAGCCTGTAAGGGATGGGATTAGGGCCAGAAATCCTTCCCAACGGGATCTCCTGGACAAGCTCTTGGATGAACGGGAAGAGTGCATCTCGCTGCTCGGCTGGGTTAGTCCCTAAAGGCCAAGTGTCAGCCTCCCTAAGCAACCACCCAGACCTGCATCTCTTCTGTGGTTTCATACGAAGCCATTTATGATAGAGAAGTGCATTGAGTAAATGGGGGTTTGGGGCTGATCCTCAGTCTGGAGAGGGCTGCCAGGCAGAGGGACAGGACTCACCGTGCAGCGGATGTGAGACAACCCGGGACACGCACTGCATCATCATCTCGTGAGATGTCTGGGAAGGAAGGAAAAAAACCCACACCTGTATGGAAAGCTGTGCTGCTCCACCTGCACAGATCACTTTTCAGGTCCCTCTTTGGAAATCTGTTTTTTGTGGTAAACCTCTCTTCCTATGAAATATTTCATAGCTGGACACAGAGTCACTACTAAATACCACAGCCGCTTCACCCAGAGTTTCTCTCCATGTAATTTCACCCGCAGCCCACAGTTTAAGCTTCCTTTGCTCTCCAGGCACATCCCCAATGCGATCTCCCCGATCACTCATTAACAAGCAGTATCTGCTTCTCACCTCTTTCACCACTTTCCTGAGGGAGGTCTTCACATCATCCTTGTTAGAAACGTGCTCCATGTCTTCCTGTGGAAAGGCCTGAGAAGAAACATATGGTCAAAACTGATGGAGATGCTGACCCACAAACCCTTGATGTCTGAGGACAGGAGGAAACCGCAAGCAGTTGCGCTCTAGATGGGAGGAGAAGAAAAACAGGCAAGAAGGAACACAGGAGAAGGAAGGATGGAAAGTAAAACAGGGGGAGAGAGGGATCACAAAACTGCTTACAAAAGATAAAAAGCAAGCGGTTGTTTAAATTAAATTAAAATTGCTTTTAAAAAAAAAAGTTTTGGGGATACGGGCACTGTTCCCTCCCCATGTCCTGGGGGACTACTACGAGCCCTTAGGAGATGGAGAGGGGTGGGTGCTTTGGTCATGGCTGGGTGCAGGCACATGCAGGCTCCCTGGCTCCGCTGCAGTAGGATCGGCTCACCCAGCAAGCTGATTTATGGAGAGAGAAGCTGACCTTTACCTTCTTCACACTCCCCCTGGTGATGGTTGATAAAGTGCTTGAGAGGAGGCGAGGAGTAAGACCACGGAAGAGGCCTCTCTTCCCATCCACTTCCACAATGTGTCTGGCTGGGTGAGAAAACACCAGGCTGCTATCAGTCGGGAACCGGCCGACTCACGGAGAGCACCCCAAACACCTCCGGAGCTCAGTATGGCACAGCAGCCGCTCTGCAGTCCCTCCGTAAGTAATTTATTATAACAGTCCTAACAGTCCTAAATAAACTTCTTATAGGATGCAAAGAATCCTTAAGTATTCCCTGTCATATCTGTCTAATCTGGAAGGATACCTCCAGTATTTTGGGCTACTTCTTGTCTTGTGATTGTTTTGCGCACCTGAAAGGGCTAAAAGGCACTTTGGACTGAACCAGGGTAGGGAAGGATCATCTCGTGTGTTGCGTGGTGTCACCTCCTCCCTCCACCCCAGGCTCAGGGTTAATATGGATCTCACAAACCCAGGCTCAGTTCCTGCCCCACCACCTTCTCTCAGGCAAACCTCCACAGGTCTCCAGCCAAAAAAAAAAAAAAAAAGCCAACAGATCCAATTTCTCCCTGATGTAACAAGGTGGAATACAACCCACTACGTGCTTGTGGGCACTGACTGCTCCTGCCCTCCACCCTCTGCTCTCCCAACACCATCTCCATCACTCAACACTGTTAAATCTATTTGGAAAACGCATCTTCCAAAGGGCAGCACCAGAGCGTTTCCAGCCTCAGTGTCCCAGGATGGGTTTGCAGGGCTTTTGTACCGCTCCTGTCCTGGGTCGTCGCCCCCCCCGCCATGGGTACTGCTGTCCGATTTTGGGATCGGCCCAACTCGGCTTTCAGAACTGTGTGCTCCCCTTCCCCACAGCAAACCTGCTGTGAAAGCAACCCCCGAGGTCTCAGAGTATTTGTCTGCCTCTCCTGTGCTGCTCCACCCGCAGAGAGAAAAATGGTACTGTTTTTTTCCTTCTAAACATATTACCTTCCCTTTTCTTGGTATTTCTGTCCCTTTAGGGCTCCATCTACAACACAAATGAGCAGGGCAGGGGTACAAGTTATTGCAGGGCTGTTTTGTAGCGAAGAAAGGCACTCTGCTATCTCTAACACATGCAAAATCCTCCGCCAACAAACCTACACCACCTAAACTCCCGCCGTCCCCTCCGCTACAGTGCAACGTGCCACGGGAAGGGAATGAAGCATCAGTGCTGGGGCCACCACCTCCTTGTTCCCAACAACAGGTAGGTAAATCCGATGGCCTTGCAACTAGTTGTAGCGGTTTATGTCTCCCTGCAGCCTTGGGATGATCCCAAGGGGACGTGGAAGTGCTGCTGGTGGTTGGCTTGGGTCTACCTGGCAGTTCCCAGCCCCGTTTTTGGGCAGGACCTCATGCTGACAGGGAGGAATGTTTGCTCACCGTAGGTGAAGAAGCCGGGCAAGTACAGAACTTTCCGTCCCAGCACATTTCTTCCAACCGTTGGAGGTAGTGGCTCGTGCCCAACCTGCAAGAGAAACCCCGTGAGCAGGTCCCTGCCCCTGTCCTGGCGTTCCCCAAGCCCCCAGGCCACACGGCCTTGATCCCGGCATCTATGAGCTGCCGAAGGGCCACGTTGGCCCCTGTCACCCTCAGATACATGGGGGTCTCATGACATGAGCAGTCCCTTTCCCATTATACGGGGTCCCTAGGGTACAGGGGGTCCTCAACCCTCCCATTTTACGGGGGTCCCTCTTACAGAGAGAGTCTCAGGATACCCATTATATAGGAGTTGCCCATCCCTCTTTATACAGGAGCCCCCATTGCAGAGAGTATCCTCATCCCCCTCATTTTTATAGGGATTCCCACTGTATAGGGTGTCCCCATCCCCTGTCATAGGATGGGGTCCCAACGCCCCTGCTATAAAGGAGTCCCCACCGTTTAGGGGTCCTCACCCCTCCCTTATATAGGGTTTCCTCTTCTGTTATATAAAGGGTCCCCATTGTATCCTCACCCTCCTACGATATAGGCTTCCCCGCTACAGCTGCCCTCACCCTCCCAGGTCTATAGGGACCCCCGTTACACGCGGAGGTTCCCACTGTATAGGGGTCCCTCCCATCATATAGGCACCCCCATCGTACAGGGATGTTATAAGGGAGCGGGGGCACGTATATAGTGGTCCCCCGTGCATGGAGGTTTCCACACGGGCAGTATACAGGAGTCCGCCG